TGTTCGGCCATTCCTGGGAAAAATTTGAATGGGAGATTCTAGAGGCCAAAATGAGACGAAAATCAAGAATATCAATTTCTTGAATCAGGCTTCGTTAAAAAGTTATTAACAATTAAATTAAAAAATTTCAAATCGTTCTGGAAAAATTATTTTCGGTTGCGGGGGTCAATTACAATCATTTTTGGTGAATACACATACCTCCGAAATCCTAGGTACTTTCGAGAACAAAATTTCTTACCGAAAATCTAATTTTGTGCCTTTTTTCGACGAATGAAAAAAATGTCAAATCGTTCTGGAAAAATTATTTTCGGTTGCGGGAGTCAATTACAATTAGTTTTGGTGAATAGACATACCCCCGAAATCCTGCGCATTTTCGAGAAAAAAATTCAGTACGTGTGGAACTTTGAACGTTAATAACGAAGCCTCCATCAATAAATTGGTATTCTTGACTTTCGTCGTATTTTGGCCTCTAGAATACCCCATTAAAATTTTTTCCCAGGAGTGGCTGAACACCCTGTATACATGTTTGTATGTAGTTCTTCCCTTAATAATTATAATATAAAGTATATTCCCATTTTTTTAAATTTACTTTTCTTGGTAATCTAATAAACACCAGTTGGCAATACATTGTGTTTGATCGTACTATAACTAACTACATATTGTGTACAGCTTAAGGTTGAGGGAAAGCAACTGTTAAATCGGCGCTGTACTATACATAAAAATTGTTAGCATAAAAGCATTCAAAGGTTAAACTGCGAACAAAAAATCATGAAGAAGCGGAGGCTTGTAAATGTCACGAGTGCATGTTCGCGGTCATCTACGACGAACAACCATGAGATCAACACAACTATTGTCGAGGGAAAGTACTTCGGTCGAGAAAACGCACGAGACGTATCCTTGCAAAATAAGTATCCTCAATTATAACGGCCTTGACGAATTGCCGTTCAACGAAACGTCAAAAACCCGTAACCGGATGCGGTACTAGTAAACGTGATCGATTTCTTCTCAGCAATATTAATATTAGGGGTGTGCGAGATCTCGATCGGGACGGCAACTTTTTTCAAGATCGGGATGGAATCTCGAGAATTTCGGGATCCCGAAAACATCCGTGATTCCTGCGAATTTTCAGGATCCCGAAGCCATTCGGAATTCCCGAGAATTTCAAAATCCCAAAAATGTTCGGAATTCCCGAAAACGTCTGCGATTCCCGACATTTTAAGTTTCTCCATACTTTCAACAATTACCACAATCCGAAAGCCATTGTGTTCTCGAAGATTACATATCTTATTAATCGGGAATGTTTATGTTAGTAATATTGTAGAAAATAATTACAAATTTCGATAATTCTGACAATGCAGAATTTTAATATTGGTAGATATTTCTGGATGGATAGTCAATCACACAATTGTGTTCCGAGAATCCCAGATATTATTCTATATCCCATACATTGTCGCGAATACCGGACATTTTTGGGATCCCATATATTCTCGGGAATTTCGGATCTTCGCGGGATCACGTGTATTCTCGGGAATCCCGGATATTTTACGAGAATTCCGAATATTTTCGAGAATCCCGCACACCCCTAATTAATATATCTCTTCATTATTTGGATAATACAACTCACAGAAAGGGACGAAAAAGTCCTAATGAAACTGATAGTTTTAGAAATATTTAATTTCTTACAACAGTTAACGCATTATCGTTTACAACGACGGATGTGATTAGTATGAATGTATAAATTCAACGTAAGAAACAACTCGATCAGGTGTTGTACGTTATTCCAACGGTCGCTGAAATAAAACTGGATTTAGAGGTTCAGAAACGTCGACGCGGTGTTTCTATGTTAATTCGCGGGTCGCCTCATCGAATGCAGTGCGCAGTAATTTAACAACAATCGCATTGTAAAACTATTCACGCATTCCTATGCGTGCGTACACGCGTGGAACGTTGGCAAGATTGGCATGCCAAAAGCACCAGACGCCGTGCGTCAATGAAGGAAATCTTCCTTATTATACGCGAGTTATGGAGAGTGATGCCTCTGAAACAGAACTTGCAAATCAACGGTGTTAATGACCTTATATTTGCATTAACAATGATAGCAAACTTGATTTTACGACCTGTATAAATCAATGTTAACGTTCTCTGTCATGGGCTTGAAGCTACCTCCTCCATCGTTGTATTTGAAATAAGTAAAACAACTGTAATTGCTATCTGGCCGTGTGTGCACATAAATAATGGCCATTTATTCGCATATAAAACAATTCTTAGTAGCGAATAGTTTTACAGCGTCATTACATTCATTTGGTATGCATTTAATCATTTAACGATTAAACTTTAACGATGATATTACTATTATACATAAATTACTCGAGTGGCGTTAATGGTGTTACATTTATGACTTTATTACGCAAAAAGTACCAATTATTTGCAAATAACTCGTTCAATTTCTATTTGTAATTATTTTCTGCAATTATATCGTGCTAAAACGTGTAATCGTAACAATTAAAACACGCACCGGCTCTTGTTAAAGTATTAAGCGTGTCCGCTGGAAAATTATATAACCTATTAGTTCACGATTTAATTAATACAATTAAGAAAATCTTTTCTTCTAATGATTTTAGTTTTCAAACATTTCGACAACGGACATTGACAAAATTCATTTTAATAGTATAAGCGTTCAATTAATCATCAGTGTAAATTTGTTTGATAACCATGATACTTTTCTAAAAATGATCTTTTTCGCGTTTGGTCCAGAAAGGTTGTCGATCTCTGTACCGTGGTAATTCTCGATTCGTAGGTGAATCGGCGAGTAAGAGCGACGATCTATACACGCGGAGCACAGCTGAACAAGCCGAGAAAGTCAAGAGCGTGGATTCCATGGGCAAACCGTGTTCGAAGAAGGATATCTCACGGGCCAGTTAGCCTACTTACAGAGAAGCGAGACTTGAAATTCGTCGCGTTGCCCTCGCGACCGGTTTTCGCTCAAACCGATATTATTGACCACCATCGCCGCGACATAGAGAAAAAGAATCTCTATCCGAGCAACGCCCAGCCAATGAGCCATCGTTTACCTAAGACTTGCGTAATAAGTAAGGACGATTAACCGTCGTCGAAGTGGCAAACTCGCGTCTGCGAATCGCGAGCTATTGAAAGAAGATTTCAAAATCCGGCCTCTGTGTCACTTTCCAGCAGTGAAAGTCGTGCAATCCGTTTGGATGTTCGTCGAACAATTTATGGAAAACTTTCGTTAGAGGCCATTAAGGTGCTTAGAAATTCAGATGGAATTAGAAATTGTTGGCGAGAGGTTAATATTCCATAACAGAAAAGCGCGCGTCTTGTTCGCAATAACGAACGGTTATTTATTTAAAATAATTCTTTAATTTCTCTTCTGCGTAATATGGGTCGAATTTCACGGATCCGTTGCATTTCGTTATATTACCATATTCGCTCTACCAACAGGTCCTATTACTACTTCCAGTCGGAGTTATCGCATGCGTGACGTCAGTTTTCGTTCAACCGTTAGACTCAATTTGTAAATAGCTTTAGATGCGACGTTTTTCAATATTTTTTAAAATTTTTAGTCAATTTTAGCAATAGAAATGATCGATCCACCAATTATTGACGAAACATTATGAGATTTCCGAAGGCACATTTCTAACAAATCCAATGTTTATGACATAAAAGCTTTTCCTTTGTAAAGTGCTAGAACAGAGTACACTGTGAATATAGAAATTGATATTAAAAAGCAAATAAACGGACAAACTGTCTATGCTAGTAATACTGCAAAAGATGCCGTCGAAAGATTATGCAAATCCATTTCTAAAACAAATAGAAATGTAACAATGTGAACTGATTCACCTTGATTCAGCTAGCCACCAGTTTATTGAAGAAACACAACCTAACTCTTCTTAGACTAGAAAAAACGAAGCATTCAGAGATAGTTAATAGTCAGATTCTATAGTTTAATAAATGTTACTACCTTTATACATAAAAGCAATGACTAGTAATTTATTTCTATCGTATTTTGTTAAATGTTATGTACTACACTATATAAAAGAATACTCTATGCCTGTAATAGATAAATAAATATTTTACCTGTGCACAGACTAATTCATTTAAAGAAATTGACTCCAATATTTATACCTAGTGCACCCAGTGTATAGAATCCATTTAAATTTGTGTCTGACGCATGCGTATAACGATCGCGTGGCGCTCGTACAGTCAATACAAACTTTAAATTACATTACGAACACGATTATTCAATATTATGTCAAAAATAGTGAATAATAATTAAAAGCTTGATTTAAAGAAATATTCTATTGAGAAATTGTTAAACATTTTTATCGTAATATTGTTTTATGATGTTAATTTGAACTACGTCTGTAGCAGACGACAACTAGGTCGTCTGCTAGAAACAGCTGACAGCTCGACGGGACAAAAACGTGGTTTCACAAACTTTACAGGCAATGTTTTACACGAACGACTTTCCACTGACTTGCACGTGGATTTGTCATTAGAATATCAACACGCAAATGTACATACCGAAAACAGTTATCTACTTGTGGATATATCGCATTCAATTTAGCCGATGCAGCAACGCTATTTACCAACACATTTTACGGGATATTACATAATTTACTAAGTTTATAAAACCAAGTAAAATTATCTATTTCGTACATTTTATTAATATTGGAGATTATTTTATACATTCTCCTCGAAATGTCTCTAAGAATAGACATAACAGACCAAATGGTATCACGAATAATAGCGTAAAAGGCTTCTTTAACTTGGAGCGAGATTAGGTTATGTCGGTAACAACACACGAGTCACTTCATATTTCACTAAAAATGAATGAAAGAGGAGGAATTTATGGGTGTATCACGAAATACTGACGCTGTACAAGCGTAGAAATAATTTACAAATTTGGCGCTAAAGCTCTATTGAGCGCAAATAAGATTTTTTGTGTATTGTGGCAACACCGAAAAGTAAAATCAACGTACCTGACAATGTTGAACCAAAGTACTGGTCTGCTGGTCGATTCTGGATCGTGACTTGACACATGTCGTCGAAACTTTCCTTCGTAATTGGGCGAAATGTCCGAACTGGCACAATTTCTCTGCACGAGCACAGAGCCTACTTGACCCTATACACGCCATAGCGAAAACTGTAGTGAGGCAAGTCATACGACTCGTGGAGACTTTCGAGTTCCACTAATCCCCACCGATACTTCAAAATCACTCCCCCACCTACTTTTCCCTTTCCCTTCCCCACTTGTAAATACAACTACTGTGTACGGCATTAATCAGACCTGTATTACATACAAATCATGAATGATTTCGGTCATTGAGTACTTCCGAAGAAAGTATTAATAGATGTCCGAAGGAATGTCATATCAAACGATTCTTAGCGACCTCTGCTTATCTAAAATCTGTGATATAATCATTTCACTATGTTATCCAAACCTTTTTATATAGCCGAGATTTCTTATTAATCCCAATACATACCTTCATATAATTTAGAATAAATATTAATCTTAATTTTTCAAAAAATTTGTATTAACTATGTTATTCTAATGTCATAGTTAAAATTGATTCGTAAAACATCTATGACTATTTCAAAGAGAGTAACATACGATCGCAATTTAAATAAATAATAGTATACAACTTTCTACGAATTACTACGTATTGAAAATTATCCTTAATTTCACACGCTTGTTCTAATTTAGATCTGTTGTAAACTAATCTATGGTGATTTTTAAACATGGCGAACGGTTTGTTGAGTAGGTTATCGCGTGCCTTTCGATCATTTGAGCAAGCAATTGATATTATTTTTGGTCGAGGTTTTCCACCAGGTAAACAAAAATAATGTTTTTGTATTGTACATGCACGTGATTGTGTTACAACGCGTTAAAAAGCAAAAATTTGTTATGCTTAACATTTCTTAACCTCTTAAGAGTATGAATTAACTTGAATTAAAATTATTTCAATAAATATTTACATTTATATAGGAGGTTTATGTGCAATCGAGTGTAACCATGTTACGAACCAAGTACAGCCTGTTATTTTTCCTGGACGATCTTTAAAAGATGTTTTAAATGATGCATTTTTATGGGCTGTACCTAAGAGGAGACGAACTATAGAGAAACGACTGATGAGAAGATTCGGTCACCCTAAATACAATTGGAAACCACCTGTTCCTAAAACTAATATTTTAGAGTGTAACAAATGTGGCCATAATTATGAAGCTGGTTTACTTTGTGGTAAGATATATGGCATCATTGGAAATATTAATACAGGTTTGTATTATATGATTTGGTTATGATATATTAAACTTTTATAGGGCATTGCTATGAAATAGTGAAACAGGAAACATTAGAAATGCAAACAGCTATACAACAAGAGTTAGGATTAAGTCCAGTAGAGCAAGATGTTGTAGTATTGTACGAAGGAGAAAAAGACAAAGCATCAAAAGACTTTTGGAAGGTACTTAATTTACCTATATCAATTATAATGTTTATTTCATACATAAACTAGTATCTACGTTTTATTTATAATGAATAATCACTTCTATACAGAACCAGAGAATTGTAGAATTACCTAAAAAAAGACCTGATTGGTTCAATCAAAATCTACTTCAGTCTACAACACAACAATCATCTGATGATAAAGGTGTAAAACCTAAAGATATGCCTTAAGTAAATACCAAGAACGATTTGCATCTATAAGGTATTTTGTGTATATTAAATAGACTTAAAAAAACAAAATAAACTAAAAAAATATTACGATATATTATAAAAATAAAATGTTGTCTATTCTTGTTTTACTTTTAAAGTTTATTGTTACATTTGCAGGTAACTTAGCAATATAGTAACTCTCTGTCTTCATAATTTATGAACATAAAAATACATATAACAATCATACTCATTATTTATATAATAAATCGATTCTTTTTATTTGTATTGCATTTTCACGTATGATGAATAATTGCCTCTATTAAATTTTATCTTGATCAACAGTTTATAATATTCAATAATCAAAAACATTTCTAATCTTATCAAGGTTATCGCACTTTCACACAATATACATACTATTTATATTTTCTTTTTGTTTACAAAATAGATACATGAAACTTGCAAAAAAATTGAAAATATTAAATGATAATCTTTACCCATATCTCGAACACCTAGTAATGAATAATTTCGAAACCTTCTACGGACGATTCATTATTAAAGTGACTCAAAACATGTTCATGGAATTCTGAGAACGAAGTAACTTTTCCATAAAAAGATCCACATAATGGACAAATTTTATTGTCGCGTGTATTGTCTGTCGAATTCGAACATTTGTCTAAACATAAACTCGTAGTTTGCAGGCTAGTTTGAGTCGCGCCATGTTCTTTAAAGCTTTTGTCAGAATCAAATTGTGTTCCTGCTTGACACATCTTTTTATTTGCATTCACGCGACAAATATTACACATCGCTCCTGTAAAGTTAACCTCAAAATTTAAGGTTCTTAAATTTGATATACTTATCCAGTACTGTACTCCGCTGACTTGAAGTCCCGTGGCAGGACATTGAACTTTAGTTCGCTATTCGTCGCGGCAGTTACACACACATGTGGACTGCCTGAGATAGATAGATGGGCGATCCGAATCCTCTTGCCCCTGTGCCGTCCCGCGGGACAACAAGTCAGCGGAGGACAATATTACTATTTACCTTCTTTCATTTTTTTAAAATGCTGTAGTGCTCTTTTTAATTTTGTTTGTTGTGCTAACAAAGTATTTCTCATTTGTGTCAACCTAATATCATGTTGTTTTAATAATTCTAATTCTGTATCTGAATCCTCTGGATAAGTGAAACCAACATTTTGCAAATTCAATTCAGTATTGTTTTGCAATTCAACCATCTAATCATATAATTACGAAAGAAATAGTCATAACTTCCAAAATTTAATATCTTCATTATGGTACTATATACTTGCCTCTGCATATTGATGTTCAAGATCAGACTTTTCTAACATAATGCTGTTTATAAGTCTTAATGATATTTCCTCTAAACTTTGTTCCCTCTCGCCTAAAAGTACATACACAATTTAAAGTCTGATATGTTTGTTACATCTAATCATTTTATAATTAAATACATACCATTATTTGCAGTCAATTGTTCATTATCATTTTCCTGTTTAACAGACTGAGAAATATCATGTAATTTATATGGTACAAGATCCAACGGTTGTGCTGGAGAATGTTGTTTAAGGGTGTCGGAAATTTTTGTCAATTGATTTCCTAATGATTTATTAGTTCTCGTTAATTTTGTTAATCTATTCCATAATTGACGATTTTCTGCTGCTACCATACAAATTTGATGAGTAAGTTGTGACTTTTGTTTTGTAAGCTCTTCTACTTTCTCCTGTTAACCAAAATCTATTAAAGTCTAATGCATTCAAATGTAAGATTTTAATGTCAGACATTAAAACAAATATATAAACCTTTAAGGTTTGTACAATAGTTTTTTCATTGTTATCATGAACTTTCATTATTGCCGTAGATTCATCTTTACCACATTCCAGTCGTAAACACATATTTTCTTCCTCGACAGTAGTTAATCTTGTTTCTAACTGCCTACAACGTTCATTCATTGTCTTCAATGCAACTAATAATGCATAATATGAACCAAGTTTATCATTGCTTGGATTCTCTAACTGATCCATGTCACTCATAATAGAGCAATGTAATTGAAAAAAGTAGAAACAGTTTCACAATTTAACAGACATTAAAATTATAATTGCAATTTTAATGTTTTGCATAAATAGTATAGACAATGTATAGAAAATAAAACTCAATGTTGTTTATCTATATTTCGACGAAGAAAACATTAAGTGCAAAAAATAGGTTTCACAATGGACGCTAATCAGGTTAATAACGATCACAAGATGTTCGAATTAGGTTAAGTTGTTATATATTTTAGTAATTTGACATTATTATATATTTCACTACGACTCGCACACAGCTTTTATTTTTGTAACGAACTTATTCGCACGTTAAAATGAATGATTGATATAAGCATTGGCTAACTACAATCATTCCGAATATAACAATGCATTTTTGGTGAATCTCCTTGTTGAGAAACAGTATCGTAATATTTGTGAAGTGCACGATGTATAATTATTGTTTACCAATGTACTTTCACATTTTTGTTCATACTCATGAATCAAACAAACATGCCGAAGAGTAGCATTTATATGTACTTCATTGAAATAGAACTGACAGTTAGTTGTTTTTAAATAATATTATGAAGATAATCAGCGCACTCTTACGTTATGTAAGATGATTCAAAAGTTCCTATGTATTTGGGTTGTGCGTCCTGAGTTCGTGGTTTAGGGAAAAAGGAGGTGGATTGGTGCTCGTGGAGCGCTGACCGCTCTGCTCGCCGAGGCGCGCAAAAATCAAACTACTAAGTACGTTCAAAAATAGTTTGGCAAAATTTATTCGTTGGAGTTAGCTCGGTGTACGACTGTTAGATACAACTCGGTTAAGGTTGAAAATCGTTCTGCTTCTCCGCGAAAATCCTCTCGTCGTTCTAGGCGTTCGTCTCTTCTCCCCCGAGCCAAGAGGAGGTGGAGGTTACGCGCCCATGTTCGAAGCGGGCGCATGTGAGAAAGCGTGGGAGTCGAGAGAGAAAACGAAGCTAGCGGCCTAAAGCAACCCTTAAAAAAATTTATGACCCTCGTGAAAACTGAACGGAACGCGAAGTGAAGTTCGCGAGGCCCTGCTGTGTATCAAGAACATCGAACCGCTTAACGGAAATAGCTAATTCGGCACGGTCCGTAATAAACTAAAAGAAGGAACGACGGAAACTGCGATTCGACATTGCCTTTAGAAAATAAACTAAGTATCTCTAAGAAATGCCTTCCTTTCTCTCTACCTTCCCCAGCTTGATCGCCCACGTTGAAAAGCATATAATTGCGTTGTTCATTATAATACGCTGGTCCGTTTGAATTTCGCTCTTAATTAGAATGCAGTTACATGACTCTGCACTCGACGGTGATTAATCAGGTTTCAATTAATTCCCGTTGTGGTGCTATGTGCATTAAACCTACGTTACGTAATAGCGTAACAACTGTAACGTCCGCGTAGCGTACGTCTCTCCACTCTGGCCCCTCGTCCCTATAACGAATAGTTAGTTACTAGATAGTAAGTAACTAGATTGCGGAAACCGCTCGCAACATCATAAAATATTATAATCATTATGTTCATTCACTAATAATTATTATATTCAATCGCTAAGTATAATATTTAATCTTATTCGTGTATTAATTGTTATGTTTACCCATTGTTAATTATTCTATTCATTTAGATCTTGTAAAAAAATTAATGTAATAGAGTTTAAGCACGCGTGGGATTAAGAAATATACAGCCACAGACGAGGTATATGGTATCGATGGAACTTGGATTCCATCTATCTCCCTTTGGGTCTCCACTCGCAGCAACCTCCACGTGGTGAGACCTGGGTAATATTATTTAGCGTTTAATTAATAATCGTATCACTCTTAGCTGGGTAATGTAATTATTAATTAAAAACTAAATCATATTAGCAAATTGGCTGCGATCCGCCTTGCATAGGTCATCATAAATATAGAGCTTCTTCACTAGGTTAGTTTTGATTCTCATTGATTCATCAAAGATTCTAGAGTATTGTCACAGACGAGGTATACGAGTAAATCTTTCGCCCAATGTATTTAGCCCATTTTTATGGGGTCTGAAAACCCCATTACCATTTTTGTGTCATTCGTAACGTTACCAACAGATTCAAAAATGAATTTTAATCCCTTCTATAGTCAACTCACATGTATTTACGTATACACTACAGTTGTCTGCCCATCAATACTAATTCCACAGACAAGTTATACGAGTAGACCTTTCACCTTATGGACTTTCGTGGCCGAATCTGACTGCCATACCGACCTGAAAATTCGGAGCTGATTTTAGCGGCCTCTTCTCATGGATGGCGGTCAGTTGAGAAACTCACTGAATTATTGTGATAGGCAGCAGACTAGTTGCGTGTAAATGCATACGAGTTGAAAAGTACGAATTATTCGCGTTTCCTTGACTAGTTAAAGTTGTAAATAATTTGCTAAAATTAGTCTATCCGCGGTTTCTATCCGAGGCATCCCTCGGGTTCGTAATACAAGCTTCGTGAGACATCGGCGCTTCCCCCACCCCGCCGCCTAATTCGCGAGCGTTGCCGAGCACAGCGGACGGCCATCATTCATACTTTGAAAATAAACATAGCAAGACGTGTCATGACGTATCGGCGTTTCGCGGCCGAGGTGCGTATTTCTAACCTGTTTATCCTTCCACTATTACTACTCGCGTTTTAATTACGATCTCTTGCAATACGGTTTCGATTTAATCATTACGTAATTGTAATAATTGTTTGCGTACCTTAATGCATCGTTATTTCGTTTCTGTTATAGTCTCTTATTGGAATTCGAAATTAAGAAATAATAAGACTTGTTGGAACCTGTCAAGACGTGTCGGCGTTTCGCGACCAACGGGGTACATACGTGTTTCTAACCTTTTAATATTTCTTCATTATTATCAATTATTGTTTAATTATGATTTAATTTGTATTTCATTCCTGTTGCAGTCTCTGATTGAAATTCGACGCCATGGAAAGTTTCATTGGCGCGTAAACGACGCCATAACAGATGGCAGACGAGTCGACAAATTTTGGAGGGAATATTGGTAACTTCTAAACAATTATAAAAAAAATTAACATCCATATCAATATTTATATATTTTTATCTCTTTATTGCGTTATTCGTTGCAAGCATGATCATAATTTTATAATCGGCCATTGTTAAGATAAATTATGAAAATCTTTGACAAACCTTTTATCCACTTCGATATAATATCGAAGTATACAGAAATGGCGTCGGTAGATATCGACGATAAATTGGAATAGTTTATATTTAACTGTATTCTGATCGCGATTGAATATTTCCGAGTGTTATTTATTTAATTGATTGTTTATATTTCTTTATGAATTGTTGTAATTGCGATTTGCATATATATTTCGATACAAGTTTAAGAAAATGTAGTAACTGCAGAGTTGGAATATGCTATTCGAGCACAAATAACCAACGAACTTTAATTTTTGCAAATTTCGGAATATTTATAAAAATTATCGGATATTCTCACATTCGATGAAGTAAACATAATCATGCTTACAACTCTAACTATGAAATTTAGTGATATAATATTTATAAATTGAATAATTACTTGTACGTAATTATTTTCGTAGATAATATATTATCGTTGAAATTCTCATTGATTGAGAATATTTCGCCTTCGTGGCATTGATCTTGTACGGGACAAACTATGTATACAGCAGTCCTAAGTAAAGCAGTATTTCTGTTGACGAACTCTTGTAAGAAGAAAAAAGAAAATCGATAGCCAAAGCACAGGTGTGCTTGTTGTGTTTCTTGCCTCCTGTCCCTTTCTTTTCAGCTCTTTTCTTTCCAGGAAATTTGTTGGTCGCGCGCAATGCGGCCGGTAGATTCAGTGATTGTGCGTAGCAACAAGTTTGTTTCTCGGGGCAAAGTGACCCCGAGTACGTTGTCGTTCACGATGTTAAGCAAACGCGAGAATAGAAGCAGTGTTTCTTACGCAGTATTAAATTATTTCCAGAGCATCGTGGCTCTTTCTGTTTTCTGAATCGCGATAATAGAATCATTTGTTCGCCGATTTCAATCTTCGGTCGCGGTAATGTAATTTAATACTTTCCAATCAAATTAATTATTTTTTCAATTTGAAATTTAAACTCCTCGTTACCGGAATTAGAGTCAGTGCATCACCGAAGAGGACTATTAGCCGATGCTCCACGAGCAAACAATGTAAGTATAAAGTTATACTTTGAAATTTTTAATTAAAAATCTCTACAGTTTTGACAATAGATTCTAATTGTTTTCTTACAGTTTTCTTACAGTTTCTGAACATGATCCTGGGAACCAGCAGCAGTATCCGGGTGGTAGCGGGCGGTGGACCACGAGCGAACAACGTAAGTATAAATTTATACTTTGAAATTTGTTAATTAAAAATCTCTATAATTTTAAAAATAGATTATAATTGCTTTCTTATTCTTTATAGCAGGAGTATGCAGGGGGCTTTGATGACTTCCACTGGGCAGCAGCAGCATCGTTATGCAGTCATCCCAGAGGCACAAGTTCATCATTCGTGAGTCGCATGCTATTTGCGTTCCTCTGGTCCCCAACCATGTTGTAGGATGAAAGATCCGAATCAACACGGGTGACCAGTTGTATACTTAGTATTTTTGACGAGTTAAGTGACCGCGGGTATGAAAAATACCCATGAATTATATTTTGTTAGTGCAGGCTAGGGTCTTCTTGCACTCGCGTTTTTTAATGTTATCAATAAATATTACACAATATGATTATTACACAATTTTGATACAATATATGAAATATGTTTATTATCTTTATATGAATTAAATAATTGCGTAGAATATGAATTAATATAATGTGAAAACATTATATTAATCGTATGATTGAGTAAAATATCTTACATCATTAATATATTTATTAAATATTCGTTTTATTAATTAATACATCATACGATGTATTTTATGTGCAAGAAGGCGTTTCGCGACTGGTCGATTTTCAACTCAAAGGAACATGCATGTTAATTTTATTTTTTTTTAAATTTACTTTGACGACAGAATCGACCAAGGTTGATTGAATATTTTGAATAATAATTTAACAAATTTATTTCAATTTGCAAAGTAAATTATTTTATCATGAAATCTTTATTAAAGTCTTACATTTTGAACAATTAAATTTCAGTGACAAATTTTTCTTGAATAATAATATCTTTCAATATTAACGTACTCTGTTGTTGATATATTACATATAACAAGTCGAGTCATTTTAATTGAGAATAGATACCGTTTAGTTAATTATTAATAACCAGTTGTTCTAGTCAGGATTTTCAGGATACTTTTCCGTGTTCGTTGCCTAAGTTCATGCACATGCCCAAGTGTTATTTGCACGAGCGAAGGCAACGGGGCACGATGACTTAGTTTGTAACATTTATAATAATAATTTATCCGTGCGACTGACAATGCTAGTGTATCGCGCACGATGTACTGTCCACGTATGTGTGTTTGTGGTTAGGATGTGGAAGTGCATCATTTCAAAAGTTTATTACAATTCAGATACAG